ATTATTATTAATTTCTTAAAAGTTTTCAACTATATTTTCCCTGCTATTCTTTCAATCCTTTACCCCATACACAAGTGTTGAAACATATTGCAAAGGTGAGGCTTGAGGTATAGCTGATTTATTATTAATTAAAGAATAAATAATTAAATCAACTTTTCTGCTAATATTTTTAATTAAAACAAATTTGGGACATCTTTTTCCCGTAAGGCATTTGCTAACTACATAACACATTAAGTTACAAAAGGTACACCACGTTAAGTGTGGTATTACGTTCAGTAGGACAAGACAAAAAGGATGGAAAAATGAGCTTTCAAATAAGTTCTATGCCAATGTCTTCAAAATTCTGTTGGTTAATGAGCTAAAATTACCTGACATAATATAATGTCAAATATAATGAGCACAATAAATCTTTTATGAAATTGTACATTCATTCAAATTAACAAATGCATTTTGAGCTTTCTATCTAGGGACAAGGGATCATTCCAGGCATCCTGGGGAATAACAGGATGACAAAAACAGGGTAACTATTAGGGAGTGAGAGATGCACAAAGAGTATGATGAGTATCTTAAAAGTAAAAACAAATGAGAAACAACTTATTCTGTCATGGTTAAGAAGGCTTCAGTAAAGATGAGATATATATATTCCATTTTGAAAGCTGAATAGGATGTTAAGAGTTGGAGCTGGGAAATGGGAAGCATAACATTTTAGAAATAGAGACCATCACAAGAAACAAAAATAGAAGAATCCTCAAGACATCACAAGTATCTAATGTTTCTGGAACATAGTGGTATAGAGTAAGGATTGAAATAGGGTTTCATTAAGTACAATGTAGGCAATGGAAAACATTTCAGGTAAAAAGAGTAAAATAAGATGAAAAGATTAAAAGATGATAGAAAAAAAAATGGCCAGAAATTGGTGACTTATGCTAGATGTGAGTGATACTTTTACAAGACAGCAGAGTCAGCTGTCAGGGATTCAGGGATGCTTTAAAGTATCTTAACCTATCTAAATAAGAAAGTGCAATTAATGCAACCAAAACACCATTTTCTCACCAGATTGTCTATCTTGCCAATTCCTGATCATTTACCATCACATTCATAGCTATTATTATGGACTACATTAGAAGCTTTTGATGCTTTACATCTCATCCGCTGGACCATTCTCTAATTTCATTTTTTGCTGTGGGAAACAGTTCCATGTCCTCTGAAGACATTCCACCTTGAGTGCATTTCATTATTTTATTTTTGTTATTCTTTCTCAGTACCTGTTCTAAGTCTCTGTGAGATTCTTAGTCCAAATAAAAACAGCCTGGAAGTTGAAGAGTCAACACCACTGGCAGCAACCCTTAATCAATTGGGATGAGAACTACTGGATAAAATTCCCAGCCTCCATCCATTGGTCAGACAATTCTGGGAGGCATTATGTCCCTTTTCAGAGTTCCTTAGGCTCCTGTTGCCTTTCCTCCTTTCCTGCCTATTCTCTACACTTCATGTTCTCTTATACTTGCTTCTTGGCATCACTTCTCAAATAAACTACTCGCAGTAAGGCCCTGGTCTCAGAATCTGCTTTCAGGGGAATCCAATATATAAAAAAAAAGATACATTCGCCTGGTGTTAAATGCTGTTTGGTCACCAAGTAACAGACTCCGATGCCTTACATAAACTGATGATCACATTTTACCACTTCTGCTTTGCACACCACTGAGTTTGATTTTTGCCATTCTCTATATTATGCTGACTATGAAAGAGGAATTATTATGAGATAGAACTAGAGGTGCAGATAGGGACAAGACACAGAGAGCCTTGAATGCTATGCTAAGTAATTTTCTTTGTGTGTTCTGACGTATTCATAAAGAATATTTTTCATTTAAATTGTGTATTCATCTATACCTATGTAAATACCTAAGCAGTCTCTATCTTATTTGTTTCTACATTATTTTCCTGCCCAGTGGAACAACTCATTCCTTTTACTTGGGTGATAGACAAAAAACTTTAAAGAAGAATCCAACATGCCAGAGTAGAACTAGGACAACCTTAGGAGCCACAAAACTAAAATTTGAAGTTAATGGGAGGCCAATTGGAGTTAGAGGTATGTATTTTTAATAATACCTGTATGAAAGATGTCAAGCACAAAACCAAACTGAGGGGCTTTCTGTCTTTTCTCTCTATAGTTTAATAAAAGGCTTTGAGACATCAATTTTTCTATCTCCCACTGATATAAGTGGTTTGGTATTTCAAGTAAAAAATAATATATTTCTCTACAATTGAAATCCAAAGGTGAAAGCTGTATGTGAAAACTAAAAAAAAGCTCTGCTCACCACCCCGCTGCCCCAACCACCAAATAAGAATGAAACTGTGAGGGGAAGAGGAGAGAAGAGAAAGTGTTTTAGAAAAGAAATTCCCAGAGAACTAGAAAAACTTTTATCTGTGTATATTCATGCTATTTTAATTTTAAGTCAAATAGCAAAATATAACTTTCAAACCTCAATTGACTAAAGAACTAATTTATCTAATAATTAATTCAGCATATACCTCCATGTCAAATTAATGGCATTTGTATCTTATGGATATTTAATATTATTTGATGATGAGAATGATGAGGAGAAGGTACGAAAACCTAGTTATTTTTTTCTGAGTGTGGCACTGGTACGACCAACATGATAAAGAGATAGATATAGCAATTCAGCAATTCAGCAACTAAAGAATTAATCAACTTTTTGTTTTGTTTATTTGTTTTTACCAGAATCCTATTTTATTTGACATATCTCATCTTTACTTTTACATTATGAAATAGACAATTATTTTTCAATATACACAAAGAAAAATTTTAGCTTGACTTTAATGAAATCAAATGTATGTTTCACTTTGCATAATACAGTAGAAATGGAATGTATTCAACAGTTTTAATTTTTTGATGAAGTAAAGGAGGTTTAAAAATCCTTCTCCCTTACTAAGAATTTCAATAGGTATGTATTTCTCAAATGAATAATGGGAAAGGAAGCTAAATAAAGAAAACTTAAATTAAAAAAAAACATGTAGAATAAATAATAGCAAAGAAAAAAATGTATGTAGTAAAATCAGTGTATTAGGTACTAGAAATTCTGAAGATGAAAGGGCCATTATCTCTGGCCTATGGGTAGTGGTTATAAGTTTGGCCTGAGATTGAATGGACTTCGGCTCAAACCTTGGCGTTACTAGTTAGCTAGGTGATGTTCACTTAATTGACTCCCCTGAGAGATTGAGATAATACTATGGTATTATTTCTTGCTTAAGGGATACAAATCAATAATGTAAAGACTACAATTGGTAGACCTTTTGAAAGCATTTATTAAATGAGAGATGTTGCCATAACTATCATTTTAAGGATTTAAAACCCAGTGGATAGAAAAATCCATTAAAAAAGAAAAATACTAACAGAATATGATCACTGCTATAATAGAACTACACATGCTGTAAGTGCTCTGGGAAGAAAAAAGATCAATTCCAACTGGTGAAAATGGCAAAGATTTCATGGGAGAAGTTCCTCCATTGGTTAGGGGTTGGGTCAGGGGAGTGAGGGGAACAGGGAAGGCACTAAGTTAAATGAACCATATATTCCAAGATGCATGTCATTTGGAGGTAGAGAGAAGGGTGAAGGAAAATTTGATGAATAGCAAGTAGACTCTTTAGTCTGAGGGCAGATTAATGTGCTGGTGAGCCGAGGAAGAACTGAGAAAGAAAAAGAAAGGAGAAGGAACATTAAGAATTATAGAGAGTAAGCCGGAGCCAAATTACAGAGAATCTGGAACACCATTATCATTGTTTTTAAGTACAAAAGGCATTAAAGTCATAGAGCAAGAAGATTAAGACAAATAATCACTAAGTCACCTCCTAGCATATTCCATCTTGTTGCCCCAAATGTATAATTTGAATGTATAATTTGCTTCTCTCCATATATGTCTACACAATCTATCTCATTCCTCAGAGATAAAATCCAATGATTGTCTGAACCAAAGCTAAAATGTTTCCGTGTTGCTGATTGATAGCCATGGATAAGCAAGGGGATTAGAATGAATAGGCAGAAAGATGAGTTCCCTTTCTTTTTTTACTAAAAACACAAACAAAAAACAGATCTAGAATAAGAGATGAACATTAACTATTCTAAAGAAAAACATTTTTTTTTAATTCACAGCACCTCGGAATCTATTTATTTATTTATTTGTTTTTTTCAAAGAAAAACATTTTAAGGATAGTGGTTTTCTCTTTTCTGTGTGAAAAAGTATATACGAGATTCTTAAACTGCTTGATAAACTTTGCAAGAATAAGAAGAGGTGGAGATGACTCATGTTGCTGTTTAAACTAGGTTGTTTTTTTTTTTTATTGCCAAAAGCATAAACATCAGGATAGAAAATGAAGTTCTATGAGGACAAGTAAGGATACTGAGAATGAATCATAGCAGCTACTTCACTGACACCAAAGACCATGGATGTGTCCAAAGACAGCTCCTAAAAATTCCACCCCTTTCTATATAGTCCCGCTACTTCTCCCACAAGAAATATTGCTTCTAATTGCTCTTGTTGACCTGGGGCAGGGTTGGTGACTCTTAATCTATAGAATGTGGAGAAAACAACATTCAAGTGACTTTGGAGCTCAGGCATTAAGAAGGCCTGTCAGCTTCCACCTTTCCTTTCTTGGAGACTTTAACTCACATGTAAGAAATTCAGGTTCCCTGTTGGAGAGAGAAGCCACAAGAAGAAGCCCCAGGATATTAGATGCTACACTGAGAGAGGGAAGAAGAAGCGCTGAGGCCTCAAATACCCAGTTCTGAATCTAGATGCCGTCACCATTTGACTGCCATTATATGGGAGATGACAAGTGAAACACTACAGAGGTGACCCTGAGGACCCTCAGACAATCCGTGGACTCACGAAACATAATAAAATAGTTGCTATTGTTTGCAGCAAACTTCCCCAAAACAATGAAGATGCTGACCTGTGAAACCATAGGGAATTTTCATACCTCTGGAACACAGCAGTTCTCTACAAGCTGGAAACATCCCCTTATTATGATAAAAAGTATTAGTAATCCCCCATGCTCTTTCTATATCTTACTGATGATAGTGAGGTAGTGACACAAGTAGGATTAGAAGATAAAATGTAAGATGCCCGGTTAAATTTTAATTTCAGATAAACACAACTATTTTTAATATAATTATGTACCATGCACTATTTGGGACATACTTATATTGTTAATTTGAAATTCAAATTTACCTGGGTAGGTATCCTGGACTTTTATTTGCTAAATCTGATGATCCTAGACACAAGAGATTGTTTTAACTTTTTTTTTTTTTTAAGAAAAATGATTCCAAAAGCTCTGATGATAAACGTAGATTAGCTCTTTGTACATAACTTGGTTGAAAGCATAGAAGGATGAGACAGGAATGAAAGAGAATATTGATGATAGCTCATAGATACAACTTTTCCAAGTCCTGAGAGGAACAGATAGGGTAGACATCTTGAAGAAGATTGAGAATAGAAGTCATGCAACCAACAGAGAGGACAGCACTGAGTTCCTGAGTCCAGTGTGGGTTCTGACCCAGTCTAGGTTCAATGGCCCTTCCTCCTCTTCACACTGGCCTGCTTTCTCATCTATATCATAAGACAGGTTGTGCTAACTTCTTTCCAACTCTTGCTTTCCATAATTCTAAGTGCTGACAGTGGAAATAGAATTTGCATTAAGGCCATAAAGCTGAGATTTTGGAATTTTACCAGCCCTCGAAATTGTGTTTTACTCAGTTAATATTAACTGGCTGGGGATCCCTATTTATTTCTTTTCCAAATCTATTTCTGGATTAAAAAGATTGCTCAGGCATTTTACTAAATCTTCCCATTAAACTACAATAATATATTGCATTAAAAGCTTATGGTTGAAAAGTTTTTGCCCTTCTTTTATGAGTTAATGGTGACCAAGTTAAAGTTGTGCATGAAAAAGAACTTTGGTTATTAAATAGTGAAAAGGAATAAAAGGCAAAGGTCTTTAAAAATAGCAAGGTCTTCATATTTCTGGAGAAAAAATTAACTTGTGGCATAATACTGCACTTCTAAATTATTTAATGAAATCCTTTTTAATCCTATGTTTCTGATGACCTAAGTTTAAAATGTAATTGCCTTAACTTAAGCAAAAACTAACTTTTGAAGCATCCTGAAAAGAATTGGAGGGTGTAATTGGTAGGGTGTCTGTATTACTAGTTGTTTGCTGGAAGTATTTGGATGATAAACTCAGGTTTTAATGTAATAGAATCAATTCACCAACATTCCCTAAAAGATTACTATGTACCAGGCACTGATAAGCATTTTATTTAATCCTCACAACCCTATTATGTATTATTAATTCTATTTTATAGGTTCTGAGAGGCTCAGAAAGATGATATCTGTCCCCAAGATCACACAGCTGACGAGGGCAGATTCAGCATTTAAATGTAACTCTGCCTGAAGAATCACACACTCTTCTAGTTTATGTTTGTCACAAAAAGTTTGAGGTCTATAAATGTGGAAAGTATATACTTATTGGTTTTGTTTTGTGTTCTAAATTAATTTTAAAAGAATAAAAGCAAGAAATAAATATTCCAACAATGGAAAAAAGGTTCACTTTGCATGATGTTTCTGTCTCCATGTTTCTTTCCTCACCTGTCTTCGAAGGTCTCTTGTCTTCTTACACATGTTGTCTATCGCAATATTTAGGGTATTACTCCTTTCCTTTTTTCCAGTCTGCAAGGGAGAAAAAAATGACATAAGCAGTGATATCAAATTACTCTTTATCACTTAGCAATTTGCTTTCTAAATTTCCTGAAAATAACAGCTTGAAAATTCAAGAATAGGTTTCAAAACTGCTGTGATATTGCATATGATTCATGAGCATTTCACTTAAGACTAAGTAGAATGGTGATTAAAGTTCACATTATTTTCTCTTTAAGCTTCTGTAATATTTCTGATACATAGTTGGGTTGCATTCACTGTGGCAGTAGGCAGAGCATTACCTGCAAAATCTTTCATCTTCATTCTTAACAAGTCGACTTTTTAACCACTAAGCATACTATTAGCTTAAAAGCATTAGATGCCCAAATTGTCAACTTCCGTGGGAGTTTTCTGAAGTCATTTTCATGGAATATTGTGTAAGTTATGCAGAGCCATATTGGAGTTTAGCTTAACACTAAAAATATGCAGTGCAAATTCATACAATTTGCAAAAGTTGACCACAATTTTAGCTGACAATATTCCAAGTACAAATTGTTTCAAGTAAGAACTGGACGCTGTTTTTGGCTCTTAAGATAATTTGTGCAACACCTTTTCATTCTTTAAGCAGAACAGTTCTCTCTGTTATATCCTTAACCTAAATCTTTAGGCTGTTAAGTACATAGAAAGTCACCTTGGTTGACATTTTCTACATATCATTTTTGTGGGAGACAACTGAAATTGAATCTAATCGTACTTTTTTCAGTGATACTTGTATAAAAGAGATCGAGAAAAATCATTATGTGATTCACCTCTGGGAAAATTGCTACTATTTAAATTAATAAACTGAAAAGTGCTCTTGAGAGGAGACCTTGAAAATCAGGAAGGCAAGTTGAAGAAGCTGATAGCTGAGCATGGATTCCATAAATGACACAGAGGCAAAGTGCAGGCAGCATGCCGTCCATATACTACCTCCAATGACTAAACTTACACATAATTCTATACCTTCAAGTGGAAAGACTCCTTTACAAGAAGTTCAAGACCACCTATACTCCATCCTAACTTCTTTTTAATCTTAATCTTCTGCCACATTTTCTCAAGTACTACTCTTTATAGCAACAATATTCCTATACTTTTCTCTTTTCTCTCAAGTTCTTACATAATATACCTTTGACTTCAGCAAGCGTCTCTGCAACAAAAAAAAAATTCTCATTAAAATTCAACCTGTTCCTCAATTGTTTCCACAAAAAATTACTCTCACCTCTCCTTGTTCCAATAGCATTTTGAAAATTTCCCAGTATATTCATTTTCTTTCTGTGCTTGAGCATTACCTTTACAAAACTGTTAGAATCTTGATATTGACAAGTATATCTCTTTTTTTTTCTATTTTCGAAAGGAACTTTCATATGACTTATTGGATGATGTTGGCTAGTTTATAAATGAATAACTTGATTCAAAACACAACATAGTTTTATTAGGGGCCTACTATATGCCATAAAGTTGTCATACTACATTCTGGAGGAGATTTTGGCATCTAGCCGTCAAGGCACACTTAAAATCTATTAGCTGAGTTTTCTGGTACCCACCTAAACCTTAGTTAGATCTAGATTTTCTCAGCAGCAGTGTTACTGATATTTAAGATGAGAAAAACTGCCATCATTTGAGACCAGTCTACACACTGCAAGATGTTTGGCACCCATAGATTCTTGTCTACCAAATTCTAATGGCAACTCCCAGGCACTATGACAGCCCAAAATTGACCCCACACATTTCTAGATACTTCCTAGTGGGAAACACTGTAGAAAACTGCAAGTTCTTTACCACATTCTATTTATGAGAGTGAGTGTTCAATCTGTTCATGATGGAGACTGTGTAGCAAAGGAAAGGGGGAGGAGAGGGAGGGAGAGATAAGACAAATTCTGAATGTCAGAGCAATAAGAGCAACAGTGGCAATTATCCAGGCAAAAGTTGTGGCTACCTTCACAGCTCTGATCCAGCATTCTCCATGCTAGCAGTGGATAACTGTGAAAAGTTAATGCAGAACTATATAAGGCAATGACATAAACAGATATATAATGGACTATAAGACAGTTCACAATTTTACCTAAAGAACCTAGCCCTTACTCTCCAGTTTCATGCAGTATTAACTCTTGGTTATATCTCTTCCCACTTTAAGAAATCAGAGGTAGTCAAAAGGGGGCAGGAGTGGTACAAAAAGACACTCCCCCCGCCCCCCCGCCATACACACACACACACATAGGCATCGGGAATAGCCCAAGAGGCTTCTGTTGTGTTGGCCATAAAAACTCACTAGCTTCTGCTATACCCTTCATCAGAACAACTAAAAGGTGTCAGGCCTCTCAGAGCTAGCAGCAGTGGCATACAAAACTTTAATAAAAGATGACAGGAGGTGACAGCATAAAGAGATTCAATATGGACTATAAAGATGATTTCTTAATTTCTACCCACAGCTTAACCTTAGTTTAAAATGTTTCACTGGGTCAAAGACATTTTGTTCTCTAGGTAATCATAAGCAGTCCCTATCATTACAGGAAATAAAAAGTTGTCCCTTCTTTTTTCCTTTTCTCTCCCTTTTCCTCCCCCATCTTTCTTTTTTTCTCACCTCCAGCTTTTTATTGGTTCTTGCTCAATTAATCCAGATTTATTTGGCTTCAGTCAAGCCATTTTATGCTTCTTTATTCCTTTTGAATGGCATAAAAATAAATAAAGCGAGGATTTGAAATAGCCCCACCCTGCTTAAAATCCCTCATTCCTTCTGTTTTCAAAGCCTTAACAAATCATCAAGCAATGAGCTAGGACTGAAGGTGAATTGTATGTGCTGAGGTAAGGGATAGAAAGGGCAGGATGTTAAAACACAACACAGATAACAGTCAGAGCCTGCCTACATCCCAAGTGCTCCTTAAAGGAAGCCTTGACAGGAGCCATCATTAAGCCAGTGCAGCCCTGCTAATGGAAAAGTTACCACTTACAGGGGAGGGCCAGAATGGAAGACAATGGAAAATATGGCACAGATCAGTACCATATAGTGTAAATAATCCCATTCTTCATCGGCATATAGACTTCCCGGAAAGAGTCAGTTCTGAGTATAAACTTCATTCAATAAAATTTTATTTAAATTATTATTACATATTATAAATAATGTCCCATGTGATCCAGACTTATAATCTTAACTATGAGTCTTTCCATCAATTCTTCCATACCACTGTTCCTACGTCACTACCACAGTTAATTGCATTCTCTCTTGTGGTTCCCTTAAAGCTGTCCACACATTTAAAAAAGTCTCTTTATAAATAAACTCTCCCTGAAATGCCCTAATTTGAGTGTTCCATCTGTTTTCTGTTGGGACTGTGCTAGGAAGAACTTTCTATTCTTGTCTAAAATGGTAGCCACTAGTCACATGTGGCTATTTAAATTTAAATTTTAATTAATTAAAATGAACTATCATTAAAAATTTCATTCCTCAGTTCCTTAATTTAAAGTGAGCAATGATCATACATGTCTAGTGACTAGTGTATTGCACAGCACAGATATAGGATGTTTTCCTAATTTCAGAAAGATGTATTGGACAGCATTGTTCTAAAATATATCTTTGTTTTCAGCTATATAATGAGTCCTTACATTTACACAAGTCACCTTTTATTTGAGAATGAAATAGCAAGAAACAAACAAAAAATCCCAACCCTCAAGCTGCTTACTCTTTAGTAAACCAGTGGTATAATTATATCTCTTCTATTTTTAAAAAACTTTCGTGCTATTCCCATTGTCAATGGGATTAAGACCAAACTCTTGATCATGTTGTTCAAGGCCTCACATGACCTACGCCCATATTTTCTTAACAATCATAAATGAGATACTGTAATGGGTCTTTAATTTTCTATGCAGTACAATAACAACTCAGAAACTGTGCTTATAGAAAAACCTCATTTTGCATTTCTTATCTCCTACTTTTCTGATTATGGACTTCTTTTAAGATTCAACTCAAATACTAAATTTTACATGGAGCCTTTTTTGATCTTCTTAGTTGGAATTAATTATTCTATTCCATTATGCTTTCTTATACTTCTTATATTTCTTTTATAACACTTGATTTAATGAACAGTTCAATCTATTCAATAAATTTTTATTATCTACTATATGCCAGGCATCTTACTAAGGACCATTAAGCCTAGTGTTTGCCTTTGAGGATCACATATCTAGTGGTAGAAAAGACATAGACACAGTATTTAATAGAGGTATCCAGGGTAATACATAGGACAATGGATGTGGCACTCCCATTAAAGATGAAGGAAAGATTCCTGAGTAGGTATTGACTGAGTATTAAAGTAGATATGTTGAAGTCATCGAAGAGAAGATAAAAGAGAAGCCCACTTTAGGGGAACAAGGATAGCATGGGCAAAGCCAAAAGTCTTTATGGAGTATTTAGCAACTAGTATTAAAAGTGTGAGGGGAGGCCAAATTTTGGAGGGTTTTGCCACATTAAGAAATGAGGTTGATCCTACAAACAACTGAAAGTCATAGAAACTAAGCAGGTGAGTGACACAGACAGTCCATTATTTCAAATACATTAATCTGCCCAGATCATTATTCCAAATACATTGACCTGTACAATGTGTTTGAGATGATTAAGAACAAAGACAAAAGAGTTAGACTGTCACAGCAACAGTCCACAAGAGAGATAAAAATTGTTTAAAAAAATTAATGCACTGGCAGTCAGGATAAAGAATACTGACAGACTTAAAGACTCTATATGCGGATATTAGATAGGATGTTAACTGGAAGATGCTGGGGAGTGGGGATAGGGGTGAAGGAAAGAGAGCAATCTAAGCTTGTGTTCAGATTTCCAGCAGTGATGATGGGCTAGATAACAGTGCTCTGAACTGAGATAGTCATTTCTAAGGAAAAACAGGTCAATATGAGGATGATGGTTTCAGTTTTAGAATTGTTAAAGGGCTTGTGGAGATCTCACTTCATTACTATTTATCTTATGGTTAATTGCCTATCCTCATGCATCTCTT